ACCATTATGGCTTGTCTCATTTTTTGTTCTTATAAGGGAATTCCTTGTATCACATGATCTCACACATCTAGGGGAAATAATGAACAACATAAGCTGAAGAACAAAAACAGACCCAGAGACAGAGAAGCAGCAATGAGACTGTCAAACCTCAGAGGGAAGGCAGGGGAGGATGGGGGTGAGGGGCAGAGATCAACCAAAGGACTTGTGTGCATGCATATGGGCCTAACCAGTGGTCACGGACAACAGGGGGGTAGGAGTATACATGGGGAGGGGTTTGGGATGGGAATGGAGGGATGAGGACAATTATGTGATATCTTAATCAATAAAGAAATCTAAAAAAACCTTAAAAAAAAAGAAGAAAGAAGGAACTGCACCACATGCTCCTCATATTCTGCGGTGGCCCTTTCGGTGACAGCACACACTACAGACACCCACACCCTCCACGCTTGGGTTTAGACGTTTCCAGGTGGGCAAGTTCATGCTAACGAGGCCACTCATTAGCTGGTGGACCCAGGGGACCATTTCCACTCTCCTCTCTGCTGTGAGGTGACAAGGATACTTTCCTTCCCAGCTTACTGGCTGTGGGTGAATTCAAAACCTGCGACCACAGGAAAACACTCTGCCATGTGCAAAGTGCTGTAAAAACACGCCTGGGGATGAGGGAGGAGAGAAGCTGGGCTTGATTAACACAGTAATGCTCAATGACTAGAAACGGTGTCTGAGCCCTGGCCGGTGGCTCAGTGGTTAGAGCATTGGCCGCCCATGGAGAGGTTGCAGATTTGATTTCTGGTCAAGGTCACATACCTGGGTTGCAGGTTCAATCAACGGTCCCAGTCAGGGGCAGGCAGGAGGCAACCAATTTACCGAACTCCCTCCTTCCCTCTGACTCTCTGTGAAAATTAATCGAAAAATTATACTTAGGTGAGGATTAACAAAAACAAAGAGTAGCAGGAGAGGGAAAAAAAGATGTTATTAAAACAGTATCTGAGAAGTAAGATGATGACTTATTTTTTTTTATAGTGTCTCCAGCTCCCAAATTCTCTGAACCAAGCAGGCGTCCCTTTTGTGTGAAAGCTGTCCGAGGCCCAGGCCCAGGCCCAGGCCGCCCTGCGCCCCGCCGGCCGGCCACCAGGCGCGCCGGCCGCCCCGGCTGTGGCTCCTTCCCCTGCGAGTAAGCTGGCACGGAGTGCCGCTGGTTTCTTATTTAGGACACGGGTCCCAGCAGCCCAGAATAGTGCTGTTGTTGTTAAAGAGAAACCTTCAATTTTAAGTTTAAAATAACCCCTGTCCTGAGCTCCTGGGGGAGCTGGGGGAGGAAAGGGAGGAGCCTGGGCACTTGGCCCCAGCCGGGCCCCAGCGGGCTGTCAGCGGCGCAGGTGTCCTCTCAGGTCCTGGTCCTGGAGGAGCCTGGGCCCTGAGGGCGTGAGCGGGCGGCGGCGGACTCAGGGGCTCGGGCGCAGGCAGTGGCTGAAGCCGGGCTGGCAGTGGCCACCAGAGGGCTCAGACCCAGAAGCTCCAAAGCCTCTCTGGCTTCACACTCCTCCTCCTGAGTTGGTTTCTCTCTTTTAAACCAGAACCTACAGCTGTCTCTGCTGTGGCTGCCCGGCCATCTTCTCAGGAACCGGCTGTGGGCTCTGCCTCACACTTCTCCCTGGTCCCCGGTCGCCGCGGGCACCCCGCAGCGCTGGCTCTGAGCGCCTGGGCTGAGCCTTGTCCTGCTGGGGCTGCGGGCCCCCAATGCCTGCCCCGCAGACCAGGCCCCGGCAGAGAGGAGCTGAGGCCGCGTCTGGGATCTGGGATGCTGCCTAGTGTGAGGGAGCAGAGAGGGCATGGCGCCCCCACCCCCAGCCCAGGGCGGGGTGTCTGCTAAATGCCAAGCCACGCGGAGTCCTGGGCCCTGGAGGCTGGTGGCTGGGAGAGGGCGAAGGAGGCCGTGCTCCCCGGGCCCTCCTCTTTGCAGGGAGCCTTTTGTAGTGGTGGGTGAGGTTGGGACCCTCACTTCCCCAGCCCTGGGGGGCAGTGAGTGGGTGGGAGGCTCCAGAAGTCTCTCTCGGCCCATTCGTCTCCTCAGCCAAACTGGCAAAGGCCGGTGGGCCGAGGGCGAGAAGCCCGAGTGGTCTGAAGGCCCCGCTGACCTGGGATCCTGGGCACTGATGTGCCAGCATCGGGTCAGGAGCCGGGACCCTCCCTGCAGAAGCGGGGAGGAGGCCCTCCTCAGGCAGCTGAGCGTCTGAGGGATGGTGGCCGTTGCCCCACGGAGCCCAGTCTGAGCGAGGCCGCATCTCCGGTGCTCGCCGGGCACCGGGGCGGCCAGGCCCTTCCGTGTGTCCACTCACCCGGCCAGCAGGGCACTCCGGGGGCGGGCACTGCGGGGCCCCCTTCTTAGAGATGGGAGCGGAGGCGTAAGAGGCAGAGCTGGGGCTTGCACACAGCCTGCTTGCTCTGAGACTGCTCCTGCCTGTCTCCACCGGCTGATGTTGGGGACCCTCCACTGCTCCCCGGCTTCCCAGCCCCACACACCAGGCTCTCAGTGTGGGCGTTACATTCTGTCTCTGGAACATGGTTGATGTTCTTTCCACTTACTTGGGGAAGTTCCCAGAGGACGCGGATTTGTAGCGACAGAGAGCAGAAAGGCGGGGCCGAGGAGGGGGGCCAGGGAATGGGAGGCTGGTTAATGGAGACAGTTTCAGTTTGACTAGATGACAAGTTCTGTGGATGGATGGGGGTGATGGCTGTACACCAGCGTGGCCTGTACCCTCGAGAAGGCTAAGTGTACGCTTTGTGTTATGTGTTTTATCGCACACACAACTTGTGCTGTTTTAATGTAGGAGGTAAGTACTTACTCATTGCTACCCATTTCTGGGGGGGGAGGGGGCAGTGATGCAAGGCCTGCTTGGACCCAAATCCGAAAGGCACAGAGGGACTGATGGTTGCCTCGTGGGGCAGGCGCACTGACCTGGGAGTCCAGCAAGTCAAGGTCAAGTCCAGCCCCGCGTTCTGCTGGCCTTGGCTCCTCCTGCAGGGCCATCGGGAAACGTGTGAGAGTGGTCGCACCGCCGGGCGACGCCAAGCTCGCCGCTGCCATTGAGGACTGGTCCCTGCCTGGGGCACGGCGGTCAGGAAGGAGGGCAGGGCCACTCAGATGAATGTCACTCAGCCCGGCAGGGCCCGTCCGTCCTGCTCCGGCAGAGCCACCAGGCCGCAGCCCCCTTAGGCTCCGCCCTCAGGAAGACAAGGCCACCTTCCCCCAGGCCTCCGGTCCCCCACAGGCCCAGGGCGTGGCCAGCCAGCGGTGGCGCAGCCTCTGGGGTGTGGCCCTCAGGGACAGGGGCCTGTGAGGATGAGGAGCAGGTGCCAGGGTGCTGGGGCAGGCCCAGCGACCACACTGGGGAGGAGGTGGCTGCGCCTTTGGGACCCACCACAGAGATTCCCAGGGCCCTGGTCCCCAGGAAGTCAGCAGCTCCTGCAGGAGGGCGGGTGGAGGAGGGTGGATGGAGGTGGGTGGACAGAAAGGCCCAAGATTCCTTTTCTTTTCCTTGGCAACATATCCGCTCCCAAGGTCGCTTTTAGGAAGGAAGCCCGCCCTCCCGCCTGGCTCAGTGGCTTCGGCGTAGTCCTGAGCACCAAAAGGTCCAGTTTGGCTCCGGGACAGGGCACATGCCTGGTGGCAGGCTCGAGCCTCAATAGGGGCGTGCAGAGGCAGCCAATTGATGTTTCTCACCTCTCTCCCCGTCTCCATTCCTCTCTCTTTAAGATCAATAATAACATATATATTTTTAAAAGGTTAATTCCAGAAGTCACAGCCAACCTCAGCCCGTGTCCGGGTGGGCTCTAGAAGCTTTGACTTCCCTGTAGCTCTGATCTGTCACACACTCCTGTGGGCACCCCCTGAGAACACACCCTAAACCCAGCTTCTTCCCAGCACCTTCACATCCCTGACTCCACGCCACCGCCATCTCTTGCCTGCATGACTGTGGCTGCCTCTTGTTCTCCCTGCATCGCCCTTGTCCTCCCAGCCCCCCACTGTTAGCACACAGTGAGTCCCTCTTCACCCTCATCCCTTCTGCCCCCCACCCCTCACCCACTCCAGTCATGTGGCTTCTGCGGGGCCGGACATGTTCCCAGGGTCTTTCCCTCGGGGTTCTCCCCGACATCCGGTGGGTGATTTATGTTTTTATTGATTTCAGAGAGAAAGGAAGAGGGAGAGATGGAAACATCAGTGATGAGAGAGAACCATTACCTGGTTGCCTCCTACATGCCCCCTCCTGGGGATAAGCCTGCAACCCAAGCTCCGTGAGGAGGATGACCCACCCAGTGGGCGGAAACGGTGCCCAAGGGTGGCCAGCAGCTCCCACCCCGAAGGAGTGGCGAGGCAGGAGGCTGCTTGCCTGTCACAGCGTCCCAGACTTGTTTCACTCGGAACGCGTGGGAGCCCTGGCCGGCGTCTGGGCCCGCCGTCTCCTGTGAGGCTGTGGCGGGGCAGCAGGCCCCGCACGGAACCTCGGACCAGAGCCCCGTCGCTCCGCCCTGCTGTGACCTGGCCCATGGGGCCCCACGTAGCCCGGGCACGGAAACATCCTCTACAATTAGCTTCCCTGAGCTCCCCTTCCTCCAGAGCTGTTGCTGGAGAACAGCTCCGGCTGAGAACGCTCAGGACCCCGCCTACTCGCTGCTTTAAGGACAGATCTTCGACTTGCTGTCCTCAAGGCCTGGGATCACCGCCACCCAGGCCCCCCCTGAATGACAGGAGCTCCCCCCGCCCGGGGCAGCTCTCTCCCTTGTACCTGGCAAGTGAAGGCAAAGGCGCAATGCACGTCTCAGGAGCTGCTGCCCAGAAAGCGAAGTCCCGGCTTTAGCTGCTGCGAAGCCGCGGGCAGCCGGGCCTGCGAGGGGCTCATGCTCGGGGATTGGGTCACAGCCAGCAGCAGCCCCGCGGCCGCCCACCGGGCAGCTGACGGGGTCACAGCAAATCACAGGACAACTGGGTGGCAAGCAATCTGTCGTTTTTAAAATATAACATTTATTGCTTAGATGGTTTGATACAGAACAGCTTTTCTTCTCATTTTGAATTTGGAAGTATTATACAACTGAATACAAAGAGGAACAAAAGTACCAAAACTAATCTTGTGATTCTGTTCATGTGGCATAAACCAGTTTGTACATAACATGTAGCAGCAGTTTTTAAGTTCCCTTTAGAAAAATATGAACTCTACATTTATTATTGTTTCCTGTGTAATGCATGGGCTGAAATCACTAGGATCACTTCCTTCTTGAAGAAAAGAGGACAGGAGGCGGCGAACAGAGGGCGAAGGTACTACGAATCATCGACTGCCACAGAGCGTCCCCAGCCGCGGGGAGGTCAGCCCTTTGGGGTTTGTTGCTTCTCACAGCCAGAGTTTCATGTAGTGATTGACTCTCAGCATTGTGTCCACAAATCAAAGAGAAAAACAAGGGAAAAACTTGCACCTCAAAAAACGTTTCAGAAGATCCATATATATATATTTTTTTTGTAAAAGCCCTGAGAGGAGAAAGAGAATCAAACAAAATGAATAGAAACAAATTAGCTGGACATGCAAACTAAGCTATGATTCACCCAGAGTTTAAACAAATCACAAATTTCACAGTTTAATATTGGGGGAGGGGCAGAACAACAAACAAACAATCCATGTCTCAACCTCACTAATGAAACGTGGCAAGGCCGTAGGACTACAGGGCGCAGGAGGCGAGATAAAGCTTTACATCGACTGTGATTCCTGCGAGCCGAGCGTGCGCCACGGCCTCTCCACATCCGGGGAGCTTAGTGTGGAGAGTTGCAAAGGAAAAGAAAACACTAGAAACCCAAATAACAACAACAATGGAAATAACAACAATCATCATCAGAAAAAATGAAGGGATGCACGAACGGGTTTTAACGAAGCAGGTCCCACCAGGTATGCAGGGAGATGGGACCGTCGGCTCTGATGTGTACTCATCGAGAGCTAATGAAACTTGTTCTGAAACTGGTTCATACATCCCCATACAGTTAAAAATTATATATACCTCAACTTCTTTCCTTTCACATGCAAAGATACCACTTTTTGTTATTTTGAGAACACACGTCTTCCTTTGAAGTCTGGATGGTTGGATTTTGGCTGCCAGAAACTGGTGAGGAAGGGTCTGTGTCCTGTCTGCACACTCACTGAGGGAAGGAGGTCCTGGGAGGGGGAGGGGGGGTCCTGGGGATGTGAGGGTGGAGCAGCGAGGAGGCCCAGCGCTGGGCCTCAGGTGTCCTGGGGTCCCAGTGGCAGACAGGATGCTGAGACAGGCTCAGCTACAGTAGGAAGTGTATTGCCTGCTTAGGATGCTCACAAAAGAAAAAAAGAAAAAAAAAAAAAGAATCCTGCCTTTTTTGCACCCAGGGGTTCAGGTTATTTCAGAAACTGGAAACAAGTCTATCTTCAAGCACCAATTCCAAATTGCAGGAAGGTAAATATAAATCCATTTCTCATCTTCTATCTCGCATGTGCAGCTTTATCACCAGTAGTAGTATTTCCTCGCCTTGCAAATGACAGTAGCACACGCGGGTGGGCCTGGCTGGGTGGGCAGACACCGGTGAGCGGGCCCTCCCCACCTGCTCTCTCCCCGCGCTGCTGCGGCCGAAGGAAGGCTTGTCGGGTACAGTAGAAGAGCCCCCGGCGAGGGGCAGGGAGCTGCGGGCGGGCAGACGCTTAGCGAGGACCTGGGGCACCCGGGTCTCCAGGACAAATATTGCCCATTTGTTTCTGCTTACTGCAGAGACCAGCAAACTGATGAACTAAAAATAATAATAATAATAATATTAATAATATATATACCGAAGGGGAAATCAGATACAGGACACCTGTGTATGTCCTCCATAGATTAAATTGACACGGTAACTCTTCTAAGAACAAAGGTCTTGGAACTTGAACAGGAACTAGTATGTCTAATGCTGAAAGAGCAAAACACATAGGAGGTCGAAGCTAGAATCTGTCCTGGTTTTCGCTTGAACCAAACTGGAAACCTCCATCCACCACATCCTCAAAATCGAGGACCAAATTACAGCTCCACCACATAGCAGATTAAAAAAGAAAAAAAGAACAAGGTCTATATGAGAAATGAGCATCTCATCCATATTCCTCTGGTAATTTACATGAAAATTCACATCATTTTCTTCCAGTTATTGGCTACGGGTATCCAAGGGCACGGTTTTCTTCTGCTTCCAGCTCACAGAACAAATGTTACCATCAGATTCGCAAGAACAAGCTCACACACACCAACACAGAAGTGATGTTAATGCTTAAATGAAAAGGTCCTCTCCAATAATTCATTAAAATATTTGCTTTGTTTTAAAGTCATTTCGGGACAACACAACACCCAGGACGACACTGAAGGACTGGTAAGTAGTAAGGCACTCGAATCGTCCGTGCTGGCTCCCGCACGGCGCGTGTAAGGCTGTGGCTCCGAGAGGCCCTTCCCCTCGCCTCCCCCAACAGCGGACAGGCACTGAGGGGACCTCCCGGAACACGTTCCGGGGCGGCTCCGTGGGCCTTCGCGGCGCTGGGCAGGGGCGCGTCACTCCACGCCCAGCAGCGGCGAGGCGGCGGCGGCCAGGGCGGGGAGGGCGGGCCTCTTGCCGTCCAGCTCCGGCAGGTCCTGCACCAGGGCCGCCGGGCTCTCGGGGTCGGGGTCACCCTGAGGCGCCTGCTCCGGGGGCGCGGCCCTGGGCGCGCTCCTGCCGGCCTCCGCCTGCCCGGCGCCGGCCGTCCGGCCCGCCGCCCGGTCCTCCCTGCGGCCGGCGTCCCGGGCCTGGCTCTCCCTGCGGCTCCGCGTGACGGCCACGTGGTTGCTGGCGGGCGCGGCCGCGTCGGCCTCGCCCTCTGAGACCGGGTTGTTGCCGCTGTGGGTGGACTCGCTCTCGCTGTCCTCCTCGCCCCGCTCGTCCTTGTCACTGTCCTTCCCGTGGTGCTTGGCGTGCCTGGCCTTCTGGTGGACACGCTGGTGGCGGACCAGGCTGTGCTTCAAGGTGAAGGTCCGCTCGCAGGTCTGGCACTTATAGGGCCTCTCTCCTGCAGAATGAGGGACAGAAATGGTCCTTCAATGGGAAGGCTCTCCGCTCCACACTAACGCAGCCACGAGGGAAAGATGGGGGTAGGGTGGTGGCCAGGAGAACCTCCTTTAGAAGGAAACGCTCTTAGTTGTCTGAATTGGCAAAATGGGGAAGCGGGAATGCCAGGTGCCACCTCTGGATTCCTCCCCGTCATCTCTTAGCCCAGGTTTCCACACCCTGACCCGGAACCAGCGCCCCTGAGGACGGCGGTGGCATCCTCCCTCAGGGACAGCATGTTCCTGAGGCTCGAGGACAGGGCACCTCCCAGCCAAAGCACGGGGCACTCATGTTCTGAACCGCGGCAGCGGGGGCTTCTCTCAGGCGCACCCGCCGGCCGGAGCCCAGGAGCCCTCTCTGTCGGAGGCCCAGCCCGGAGCCCCCGGAGCCCCCAGGCCGGGCAGAACGGCGCACGGGGCGGGCAGTGTGTGGGGAGCAGAGGTGTGCACCCCACTGGCCAGGAGGGAGGAGGGAAGCCGAGACCAAGACCAAGGCCTGGGCTGGGTGTGTTTGGGGGGAGGGGTGGCGATATGCTTGCACTTTTGGCTCCAGGAGTGTATCCAGGTCTCCTTTCTACTGAACAGCAGCCCTGCTGCGGGGCTTGCAGCCTCGGCCGTGCAGCTGGTGAGCCTCAGGAGTGAGGACTGTGCAGGGCAGACCCGGACATCCGCGCAGCAGCCAAGACAGATAGGAAAGCCCCCATGGTGCCAACTTCCCACCGGAAGGTTAATAATGAGACAAACCCAGGTGCCTCCAAACAGAGCGCCTGTCCCCCTGCCTGTCCCCAGGCCACACCCCGCTCAGGACTTGATGAGACTACGGGCCCCAAAGCCCAGCACGCATATCCTCCTAGACACTTATCCGAGAGGACAGGCATCACCCCATCCGGGAGACGGGAAGCCTGAGGCTCAGAGGGACCGACCAAGGTGTTCTCAAGGACAGCACTGCGGAGGGACCACCCGCTGCCTCCCTGCAGGAGCCATGCGTTTAGGGCGCTGAGAGAACAGCTCGTTCAGTCCCTGGCTAGTCCTCTGCCCGTTTTCCCTCCGGGGAGGGCTGCCTCCTGACTGGGCAGCCCCCTTCTCAGGCTGGGACGGGGTCCCCCCCGAAAGACGCCAGCGCCGGCCTGCCCTTACCCGTGTGGGACCGCATGTGCCGGGTCAGGTCCTGCAGAGACCAGAACCTCTTGTTGCACACGGTGCAGACCTTCTTCCTCTTGTCTGCCTTGCTGGACACACTTCTGCAGGCGTCTGTCTTTGGCTTCTTGTCATCGTCACTCTTCTCTGAGGACTTCTTCTCGGCCGTGCCCTCCCCGTCGGAGGTGCCCTCAGCCTCCTCGCTCTGCTTCTCCGCGGAGCCTTCGGACCCGGCCTCCCCCTCGGCCGGGGGCTCGGGCTTCTCCTCCGGCTCCGGAGTGGGGGCAGTGGGCCCCGGCCCCTCGGCAGCCCCCCTCTCGCCCTGGCCCTCTTGCGGGAGCGGGCTCTCCCCGCTGGGCACCTCGCGGCCATGGGCCTTCCGGTGGCGGCTCAGGGTCCCCAGGAACTTGAAGCTCTTGCCACAGATGTCGCAGGCGTGCTTCTGGTCCTGCTGGGCCGAGCCCCCGCTGGCCACAGCCCCAGGGTCGCCCTCGGCCAGCTTGAAGCCCATCAGCTTGCTGGCGAGGTTGAGGTCCAGGCTCTTGTTGCTGACCGTATCTTCCTCGGGGCCATCTTCTTCATCCTCCTCCCCCTCCTTCACATCATGATTCTCCTCGGGCTCCGGGCTCTCCTCGGCTGCCTGCTCCTCCCCATCCATGGCCTCGGCTGCTCCCCGAGTCAGCTCCTCCACAGAGACCTCTCCTCGGACCTGGCTGGGCTCAGGGCCCCCCTCGGACCACGGCTGCTCTTTCTCCCGGGAGGTGAGGTCCAGCACTTCGCCTCCTGCAGCTGATGTCTCCACGTCTGACTGGCTGTCTGTGGGAGCAAGCACAGAAGCATGGATTGAAACCAAACGCCACCACACACGCCCCTGCCAACGGCTCCTTTGTGAATCTCAGCTGGACTCGCCCTGAATCATCACCCCTACATCCATCCCCGAGGGCCCAAAAGAATCTGGGGTTAATGTATAGAAGGAGAAAGAGCCCCCACATACACACAGGCCAGGCTCACGGGGCTGGCTGTGCCTCGGAAACCCTGCCCCCCTTCCTGTACTGGCCGCAGGCGGCACCTGGTGCCCTCCCCTGCCACACACAGCAATGCTCAGGCCCCAGGAGATGTGAGCGACTGAGGGCAGCACAGACAGAAGGAATGGAGAGGGGAGAAGTGGTGCATTCCAGAGAGTCACAGCGCTAGGGAGGCTGAAGAAGCTGAGCTGAAAAAGCTATTTTTGAGTGCAGAGATCGTATAAACATGCAACATACATGGGACTACCCCAACATGGTGTCTGATGACAAAACGGCCCAAAGCACATACTATGCACTATGGTCCACACTCTCACCCGATGCCTCGTTTCCAGGCGGAGTTCCAAGGCAAAGGAGACACAGGCACACCGCGGGCCTCCCTGGCTGCTGTCAGGACCCCACGGAGGGAGAGGAAGCACTTCCTGGATCTCGGCCTGTTCCTACCTGTCCACTCTCCATAGCAAAATCAGATGTGGACTGTCCATCAGTTTGTAGGCCTTCTCAAGGGATGGCACTGTAGTAACACTCAGGACAGCATTTATCAGAAGCACTGTCTCCCTTCGGGACACAGGGGCCTAATGACCTTTACACTGTGCCTATGACAGTGAAGCTGTCTGCTGAGACCTACTGGCGACTATAACCCAATGGCCAATTTATTAGGCCAATGACACTCCGTTTCAGAGCACGTAGACCTCCCCAGACTCTCCTTGATGTGACCACACGTACAGCCATGTCCACCCACACCCAGCACTCGGTCACCGGCTTCGTTATCTGCCACTGAGGGGTCCTGGGGTGGGGGGTGGGGCTGGCACCCCACACCTGCCTGGGGCTTTCAGCTTTCGCACCGCCGTCTGCTCAACACTCCAACTTACACCCCTTCACCGTTTCATTCTGCCTGTATCTTTTGGCAGCCACTGTCTGAGTATCTCAAAGGGTTTCAGAAGAACACAAGTCATTATGCTGTGACTAAAATTTCTGACGATTTTTGAAAATTATTCACAAGTTTAAAGAGGAATCCTGAGCTACACACCTCAATGTTGAGGCTATTTCTAAGGATAAGACAGTTGCTCATGTTCTTGAGTAATTCCAATAGGGAGCATCTATTTAATGGATTTTGGTGTAAACTCTACAATAAAAAAAAATACTAAGTGCTCAGTTTCATATTTGCTAGCTTACTACTACTGTAGTAGTTACATTTTTAAAAAGAGGCTTAAATTCTGGCTACTTCCTTCTTGCCCCAGTACATTCAAGGTTTTCTTAATTATTAATATTTTTCACCAAAGAACATGGGTTATTTTAAAGTTTAACTGGAGAAAATATTAAGATGAATGTAGAAAAAAATCATAATGAATTCTGAAACTAAACCCAAGTAAATATACTAAGGTCCGATCATTCTCACCCCTGGGCCTTCCTTAGTGTGAATAATGAAGTGTTCAGCCACAGCCAGTTTAGCTCGGTGGACAGAGCATCGGCCTGTGGACTGAAGTGTCCCAGGTTCAATTCCAGTCCAGGGCACATGCCCAGGTTGCAGGCTCGATCCCCAATGGGGGCGGGCAGGAGGCAGCTGATCAATGATTCTCTCTCAACATTGATGTTTTTATCTCTCTCCCTTCTTCTCTGACATCAATAAAAATACATAAAAAAATAAAAATAAAAAAAAAGAATGGAGCATTCACCCTAAATTCAATGAAAGGCCAACTCACTTCCTCTGCTGAACAAAGGAGGCTTGGCTGTGCTCTAGCAAACGTCCACTAGAGGGAGATTTTTGCAGGACCGCCCCGGGCCCTTCAAGTTCCAAGCAACCCCAACTGATTTTTATTAGTGATCCTTGGGAACAACAGAACCTCCTCTCATCATTTCACGAATATCTGGCTCATAACAGCAGGTCCTCAGCCACCCACGCTTCTAAATACAGGTAGCTGAAGCCTTTTTTTTTTTTTTTTTTTTTTTTTTATAAGCGATGCTACCTCCCTTACATACTTAGTTCTCTGTCCTCACCAGTCCCTCATTTGTGATGCTAAATCTAAAAAAATCGCTATGGGAAAGTGGAGATTTTTCATGCCAGCTTAACAATGAAATATCTACTGCCTCTCAGACGTTCCAAGTTACTCAGCCAAAGTGAAAAACGACCAGTCTGCACACCTCACTGAATGGGCAGGGGCGAGGCTGTTCAAGCTGCTGCCTGCACTACGGCTTCCCCTGCGAAGGCTGTGCTGAATGCCCTCCAACGGGCACTGGGCTTCCAGCCGGGCAGGGCGCCCCGTTAAGAAAGCGTTTGAAAACTTTC